CAAATTGCCAGGGTGGGCTTTATACAATGATGGAGAGAGGATCTGCATTTACGTAATAACACATCATCAAACGTATTTCTTTCAAATATGCTTTTTGTGTTTGCAAGTACTCTGCGAATCCTTAAATTCTTTTTGCAACACCGGCAAAGATTGTTAACACTCTGCATCGGTGGCTGCATCGCGTTTTCTGTGTCTTTGCACGCCAGAAGCGTGTCTGACGCGGCGCTGCTGCTGCTGCTAGGTGACATAGACAACAATTTCAACTGTTATTATCACACATCTTCCAAAATCTGAAAAATATGGAAGTTGGTTTAGGCTGTCTATTTATTTCAATAACATTTTCAAATTTTGTGACGTATATTTAGCCTGATGGTGGACTGTCACTCAGAAGACACACTATGTTGTTATCCTGGAGGATATCTTTATATCCTCCTGAGCCCCAGAACGTTTTTCTTTTTTTCAAAAGTTTTTTTTCTTTTTCATGTAATCACATTGTTAAAAACATAGGGAAATAAAGGGGAAAAAAGAAAAAGAAAAGATATGTTTATGTTATGCTATACTGTAGTGGACACCAGGGGCCTCATTTATAAAACTTTGCGTAGGATTTGCGTCAGAAGTGGCGTACGGATGAAACATAGGACGTGCGTACGCACAGAAATATTCGGATTTATAAAACCGTGCGCACGCACATCCTACACATTTTTCCCTTCATAAATCACAATCAGTTCTAAATGTAGCGCAGCTTTTGCGGCTTCATGTCACACCCATAGTTGCCCATCAATAGTCCGTGAAACGCCCAAAAGTTAATATTCATCAATTGCGAAATCATGTTAAACACAGAGAGGAATTAACAAAAAACGTAACTTCACTCAATGTGAATTAGAAGTTATCGTTGGCGAGGTGGAAAAGAGGAGAAAAATGTTGTTTGGAGGGCACAGTGTGGGCATTACTAATGCCAAAAAGGCACTTGAGTGGCAAAAGGTTGCAGACGCCGTAAATACTGTGTCCTCACAACCTCGGACTGTGGCCGAAATAAACAAGAAATGGTTGGACATCAACGTCCGTCTAGTCATTAATTAAATCAGAGAGGTGGCCAAGGAGTTGGGCGAAATCAAGACTGTCCTAACTGAAATAAACTGCACAATGAGGGAATTCTTGAATAAATAATATATTTGTCCACACCTTTTGTTGTGAAGATGATGCGTTCACTCCGAATCCTTCCATTTAATCGCCACATCTTCTAAGAGCTCAAGATCAGCCATTGTGCGTCATTATACGCATTGTGATGGGGCATTTTATTTACATCCATTTAATTCTGCATCTGACAAGCTACGGATGTCGGGTTTAATCTAAATTAGAAATAGTTCAGTGCAAATATAATTTCTTGCAGCTTTCTGAATGGTTGAGGAATGGTCTGAATGGTCACGTCATACGTTATTTTATCAAAAATAAAATAAACTAAAGGCATATGCATGAATACCATGATTCTAAAGCTGAAGAAGATATTTTTACGATGAAAACGACTTTCCCCTGGGGACAAATAATAGGCCTACATCTACCAATTTATCGACCTATCTATATCTCCATAATTATCTATCTGACTGACTATCTAATTGCTATATCTGCTCCGTTAGACAAACATATTGGCGAGAATATCAGTTTTGTACATTATTTCGTTCTGTTTACCATCTTATTTATGAGGATGAATTGTATATATGCCAATATTATTGAAGAACATTTTTTTTTTTTTTTGAAATATGTGTTAATGTGCATTTCTGTTGCAGATCGATCAAACGGTCGGTGTCGCCATTTCTCATTTCACCCGTTTGTGTGCGTACGCCTGGGTCAGAGCTTGCGTGAAGGACTGGACATTTTACCGTCAAGTTTGCTTTTTATAAATACCAACTATTGCATAGAGAGCGGCGTACGCCTTCTTTTGTGCGTACACAACGTTTATAAATGAGGCCCAGGACTCGATTGATTAAAAAAAATGACATGAAATTATATGTAGGCAAAAATAATGGCAATATTTGAAAACTGATAATTATTATTATTTGTTTAAATTACATTGATATCTGAATGTATGTCAAAACCTAGACTTTCAAAGATCAAAATGTAATTTATTCATATGTATTCGTGTACAAAATGACATACACATTGTTTCCTAATCTATTTTGCCTGTAAAAGCTTCAAACATGCTTGCGTGTCGCATGAAAAATAGGCATCGGTTCTATTTCTAGCATGCACACGTTTTCCGCACAGCTCATGCCGGCAGTGTGCAAGCTCTAATCTGTTAACATGGGAGCCGAAATAAAAACGGACACGCCACGCAGCCAGTGTGTCTCCGGCCTTACTGGTGTGGTTTAGTAAAAGCGCCTCTCAGGTCTTAAGAATTGTCAGATACGCGAACGCGGACCAGATTTTTTTTTTTTGATTCGCAGACATGTCTGTATGCCGGAAATCTGGTGGTTTTATTAGGCATTTTATTATTTTTTTATCATATGCATTGCATGTATAATTGTATTTTGTTCTTACTCTGTGAAGCGCTTTGAGATGCTACTTTAAAGGCGCCATAGATAAATAATGCTTATCATTATTATTGTTCTTACCAGGTCCTGCTGGCCTCAGACTTCTTTGCAGAGCCTATGCTAGACCACCTGCTGGAGACAGTGCTGATGTTGGTGCCTTTCCGACAGCAAGACGGCGTCGGCCTCAAGAACGTGGTGCACGGGGTAGCCAGCTACCTGAGCGGGTCCCTCCACAACCTACTGGACCGAGCTCGCGGCCGAGGAGCTCTTTTTCGGCCAGCCGCTGTGCTGCTCCACGTGTGGATTTACACCAATGTGAGAAATTGGCTCCACATGGGTCTCACCAGTAGGACGCCCCCCTGCCCGGCCAGTCCCTCAAAGGCCCGACCCTTCCTTTCGACCGGCTCGTCGACTGCCGGTCGGTCTTAGAGTTCGCCCGTGAGGTGACGGGCAGGAGAGCATTTGGGTACCCCCTCACGTTCGACCGTGCGATGGAAATGGTGACCGCGATGGGTTAAACCCCACTGCCGCAGCCTGGGCCTCGCCCCATACAAATACTTTCCTAATATAAAATACTGGGACGAAATACAGCACCTCAAGGCCTCACTTTTTTTTTGCACACTGTATATAGTTCTTTTTAAAAAATATATATATATATTTGTATATATTAAGCAAATTGTATATTTGTATATATTTGTTATGGCCCTTAGTCCATATAT